TCCTGGAGTCCCTGGATCGAGTCCCGCATCGGGCTCCCTGCTCAGCAGGGAGTCTGCTTCTCCCTCTGACCCTCCCCCCTCTCATGTGCTCTCTCATATAAATAAATAAAATCTTAAAAAAAAAAAAAGGAATGTTCCATGGGTGTATTTGGGATTCAGTAATATCAGTATCTAAGGTGCTTTAGTAGTAGCTAATCTAAAGTACCCAGAGAATCATGTGTTTTTGTTAATTAAAATTTCAGGATAACTGAAACACCTTGTTCAGTTTTTAGCTTTGATTGAGAAAAAGTTTAATTAGTCCATGACATTTTTTTAAAAGATTTATTTATTCGTTTTAGAGAGAGAGAGCCCATGTGGTGGGTGGGGCAGAGGGAGAGAATCTCAAGTAGGCTCCGCGCTGAGCGCGGATCATGAGCCAAAATCAAGAGGCAGCCGCTCAACTGACTGAGCCACCCAGGCGCCCCAGTCCATTTTGAACTCACTGTTTTTTTTTAGGGCTTCAGGAGCATTTTTTTTTTCCCCACAAGTACTAGTGGGTTTCAAGTATCACTGGGAAATATCACTGGGAAATTCCTGGTTTTTAATATTTTCGAATGCAGTTTAATCTACTTAGGAAATGGCTGATTCTTTTTTCAGATCTCCTATAGATGTTCACATCTTTCTTTCCTCTGAATTTGGTTTCTCCCATTTTTTTTCATTCTGTAACTGCTATTGAAAGAAAAATTTAAAATGTTCACAGGAATTAGTGTGTTGCTTATCAGCAGGCACAAGGTTTATCGACTTTACCAGAGACCAGGTAGATATCACATGATGATTTTTACACTCAGTTTTATTTCTGTTAGTGTATTTATGATTAACTGCCTCAAATTCTTTTGAAAATAGTGAGCTTCAACTCTTGAATAAAATATTTTAGTTGCTCCCACTTACCGTAAGTCACTGGCTTATACATTTGATGCTGGATATTTGGAGAATAGGATTGGTGCCCACCCTCAGGAGTTTTCAGTCAGTTTGGAAAGTCAAAGATGTGAGCAATAAATGCTATAAAATAGTGTAAGTGTCCTGGTGGAAGAATGTACTGCATCCGGCAAAAGCACAAAGGAAAGGCAGGTTGATTCTTAGAGGAGGTGAGGTTTGAGCTGAGGCTTGAAAGAGGGTTAGGGAGGGATGTGAAGAAGAAAGGGACGACACATGAACTCTGAAGCAAGAGGCCCGCTTCCAGCTCTGCAGCTAACTAAATGTATGATCCTGGGCATTCACCAGCTCAGCTTCGATTTCCTCACTTGGAGGAAGGATGGGGACCAGACTAGAACATGTCTACAATCCCTTTCAGATCAAAAAGCCATGTATCACTATTAGACTCATTTTATGAAAAGAGATAACTGTGAAAGAGACGGCTTTGATAGTAATTTGAATTTGTCTTCCTAGAGCCCTGTATTTCATGTAATTAAAGGGCTGCAAGTTCTCTGTTGTGCTGGACAGACATCTTAAAATAGACCTTTTAAATCCATTCAGGCTTTTCAGGGTTGAAGTTGTGCTGTCTTTAGAAAATGTAAGCCTCACTTTTAAAATTCTGTATTATGTAAGTGACCTCGATCTAAGGAAACTCAGGGGGAAGAGACCTCAGATGTCCCAGAGTCAAGCCTCCAGCTTGCCATAGAGTTCCTGTCTGTAGCACCTAAGCTTGTGAAGATGTTGTCTTGAGGACTCCCAGCCAGCATCTCATGGCTAAAGGATACATTTAAGGTAGAAACTCATATGCCATATTGAGTGAGAATATAAAAATTGCAGTTTTGTGCAGTTGGTTGAGCGTCTGACTCTTGATTTCAGCTCAGGTCATGATCTCAGGGTTGTGGGATCGAGCCCTGCATCAGGCTCCATGCTCAGTGTGGCGTCTGCTTGAGATTCTCTCTCTCCCTCTGCCTCTGCCCCACCCCCACCCCCCCCAAAAAACAAATAAAATCTTTAAAAGAAAATTGCAGTTTTGTTTTAAAGCCTCATGCAATTAGAATGGTTCACAGTAATACTCTCTTCCCCCTTCAGAATCTTTGGGCCACAGGCTGACTAGCTTAGTTTTATCTTTCTTGGGCAAAGGATTTGAGTTATCTCACCAGAATATAAATAGTGTAATAAAAGAAAAAATATTTTAAAATAACTTACAAAATAAAAAGCAGGCCCAGGAAAAACAGTGAGAAATGAGAAATCAGAGGAGGAGGATATTCAGAGAAGCAAGGTATAAAGGGCTCACACTGGGCCACACACTTGAGTCTGGGCTTCCTGGCAAGCCAAGCAAAAAAAAAAAAAAAAGGTACAAAGTTGTCCCCACATGGAAAAATTTCCTTCTGGACAAGCACAGCTTTTCTAGACCTTCAGCTGGAAGTAATGCATGTGGGGGGTTCTTTATGTGCCTGTGGCCTGTGATTCTTGTGACTCCGGGCTCTGGGCCCAGCCTTCTGCTTCCTGTCACTGTTTTCTTCCAGGAACAATGAATCATTCCCAGGACACCGGCCCTCGAGGCATGCCTGAAGACAGAAAACTTTATATTGTGGATTCCATAAATGACTTAAACAAACTAAACCTCTGTCCTGCCGGATCACAGCACCTTTTCCGTATGTGTGCCCTCCCAGGCTTGGTGGCCCTTCCTGGCTTCTAGGCCACCTAAAAATAGCAAATGCTAATCTGGCCCTGTGGGGGTGTGGGGGGGGGCGGGGGGGAGGGGAGGCATTAGGAACACCTCAGCTCTGGGAGGGCTATTTATTATCAGGCAAGTTTTGTTTTTGTTTTCTTAATACTTGGCAGGCTTAGGGGCTTGACTCCTAAGCAAGATGTGGAATCTGTCTTCAAGAGTTCTGAGACGTTCTGTGGAGTGTCTCTCCCTGGAAAGGGGTAGAGGCTGCAGGTCTTCCAAGAGGTTTGCTTCTCCCTCTTGGCGGCTGTTGCACCTTCTGGGGACCCCAGCCAGGTCACCGGTGGGGCCCACTTTCCTAGAGAGCTCTGACTTCGTAGTGGGTTCCTGGAATATGCTCCACGCATTCCTCCAGCTTTTAAAAAGTCATTAGAATTTTTCCGGGCAAAGAAGTCAACTTCATTTTCTGCTTACAAATTACAAATGGCCCCAATAAAGGGTTAAAAAAAGGAGGGGAAAAACAAAACAAAAATCTGCTAAATACTAAATGTGTACTTTGTTCCCTAAATATTGTAAACGAGCTCGATCAGCTCATTCTGAGCCCCATTTTTCCAGCTTAAACTCTGACAGTCAAACACAAGCATTAATTTTTCCCCTGGCCGCTTGTTCCATTCCCGTTCTAAACTCGGACTGTCCCACATTTGTATCTATCATTCCCCTTCTCAATCCTTCCTGAGGTTTCGCTTTTTTCTTCATTTTAATGCAGTCGGGTTTTCACCTGCCTTTATTGCAGTCTCAATAGAAACAGGTGTTTGGGTGCCGGCTTAGGCCATCGCTTTGATTAGGAAGCAAAAGTTGTTTCAGGGTGACGGAGCCCAGGACACAAGCCACCCACCGAGCTACAGTCGAGCAGCACAGTGTGTGGGACGGATGCCAAGTAGGAGAGAGTACAGAAAGGAAGTCGTTCGTCTCTGTTACCCCAAGTTTCTCTATTTCTTATTGAATTTAATTTGGGTGTTACCAGGCACGCAGGCCTTACAAAATGACGGCCACATGCAGACACTTCATGCTCGGGCTGACCCAAGCTGCTCTAGGAGCATGGTTACAGTCTCAGTTTAACTGCAGGACATTTAAAAGAACCTTGTTTCCAGAGCAGGTCCGTCCCAGAGACAGCTCTAAGAAACCAAAATACGTCGGCGCCATTTTTCTGTTTAAATGGGTGTGGGCTAAACTGATCACTCCTATGTTGCAAGGAGTTTCCTGGGAGACATTCCAGAGTATTCAGCCTTCTACTCAGAAGAGGTGTCCCAGCCAGCTGTGTTTTACTCGGGGGTCACATTGGGGGAAAGGGTGATAGAGCCTCCATCGCTCTGAACCCTTAACGCATGTAGCCTCCCCTACTCACCCAGAGAAAAGCCCAGGTCCTGCTCCTTCAGTGTTAACACCATCTTCAAAGAACTTTCCAAGGAGATTGCTTAACCCTGCTTGTTTTTTGAATAGCAATGTTGAAGAAGGTAAAAAATTCACAGAGCACCAGCCCAAAGACATTCCTAAAACATAAGTTACTCTCCAGGGTGATGACAGGGGAAAATGGACATATCCCCTACTCACACCTCTAATCATGGGGGACCGGTCAGGTCTGCGGACAAGCTGCCTGCTGAGGAGTTTTTGTCATTGTTGTTTTTGTTTGTTTCCTATCAGCGCTCCAGGAGAAAATCCCAGACGTTGGCACTAACTCAGGAAATGGAAGTCATAGTCTATTTTTTATGGGGCTGATAATGGTGCTGATTGTCAGCCTGGCCCTGGTTTCCTTTGTGATTTTTCTAATAGGTAAGTACCACCGACATGTTCTCATTACTTAAACACTCTTACTTTGTGGCTGGTTGTTTAACTTTATTCCAGCAAGGGGTCCCTGCTTTTTGGCACTCACGGCTACGCTCCCTGAAAGACAGAGGGAGGGCAGGTGCCCTGAGTGAGCCCTGCAGCTCTGGGAGGGTCACGGGGACACGAGCCCACAGTGCCCAAAGTTCACAAATGCCTACTATGACTTTACTGTCTTACTTGGAGTCCCTCGCTGTCAAACGGTCGGCGGCTTATCCTTGCTGATTCTCGGTTTGCTTGATCCGGGGCATAACCCCTCCATTAATTCCGCTCTGTACCAGAGTCACATTCAGGCTTCGAACCCCTTTCCAGGTTTTCTCACTTCTCAGGAATCAGCTGGAAGCACTGAGGGTTGGGGCAGGGTCCCGGAGGCAGCGTTAGGGAGGTGTTAGGCCCTTCTCTCCTATTTGACACTGCCTGGGCTGTGTGAGCTGCCACCACCCACCCCTGGTGACCCGGGCTGTCCCACATAGCTCCTCAGCCAAGAGACCCCCCCCCAGACCTCAGTGCCCTGGTAGCGGCAGGGCTGCTGCCCCCTCCCCTCGAGCCCCCCAGTTTTCTCTCTCAGCTGACCCCTGCGGGCCATCATCCGGGATTTTTCAGCTCCTTCCCAGATCCGAGAGGAGGGAGTCATCTTTGATACCTTTTCCCCCCCGGATCCACCACACTGTCATTTCTTCTGCCCTTTCTTACTCTGCAGGCCGTGTAGCCTTCAAAAATCTTCAAGGAGAAGTAGAGCCCATGTCTTTGGAATGCCTTTAATTTAAATTCATTCAGGATTAGAGGTAGAGGTGGTGGTGATGTGGGGGGAGACAGGTGGGCAGAGGGCGTGACTCTTTTAGAGCTTCCGACGCCTTTTCTTCCCCAGACTCCCGCCTTCCAGCTAACAGGTCTCTATCCAGCCTCGGGGGTGGGGCAGGTAGGGAGGTATGATGTTTAATCGCTTCTCTCTGGCCCAGCCGTTGCCTTCTTGCACTTGAAGCTGCAAGGGCAATTCTCCTCACAGTAATGGTGCCCTTGTATCTGACCGCCTGTTGGATGTGGGTTGTTCCTGAACCTTCAGGGCCAGAAAGAGCCCATGGGTTACTCTTCTGAAATGTTACACCAACCAAAATGAATGCTCCCATTATCATTCTGCCACACGCATCTGGGACAATGGCTGAGTTAAACTACGAGGAAATTTTAGGTATGCCCACAGACAGGAGAGCCACCCAAAGGACCTCCTCTCTTCTGTGGGATGATAGGTAGTAAGATTAGGGGTAATGCTGATAACATATACTATCTATTGGGCATTCACTGTCGCAGGCACTGGGCGAAGCACTTGATGTCTGTTTGCTCACAACCTCATAACAGCTCTCTGGTGTAGGATCTACTATTATTCTGGTTTTATGGATCCTGAGGCTTCGATTATTTACCGTGCCCGAGGTCCACAGCTGATAAGTGCCCAAAGACACTCCCGCCCGACCTCAAAGAGCATGCACTTTGTCACCGTCATTATAAATATGGTTTATTTTAAATTTGCCGCTGGTGTTTTATATTGAGGGCAAAGTCATACGAAGAAATGGAAAGAAGACATGAATAAAGAATGTCTTTATTGGGCAGTTGCTCTGTGCCAGACACATAAATCCATTATCTTCAGTTTTTACCTCTTAAGATAGTATTTAATATTTCTATTTCATCAATGCGAGACTAAGGCCCAGAGAGTTTACCTCTCCATGTTTACCCTGCTAATCAGAGGCAGAACTGGGATCCACACCCTCATCTGCCTGGCTCCAGAGCTCCCCTGCCCTCCATTGCCTACGCTGAAGTAATGAAGTAAGGACTTCCTGTGGCTTTCGGACAAAGCTTAACCTAAGACCAGAGTTGGTTCAGGCATCTGAACTTGGCCTGTGCTCATCTTTAACAAGGAAATCTTTTTGCTCTCAGTGGGATTTAGTGCAAATTTGTAGCCTTTTCACCGATGAGAAAGAACCCGTATTCTTTATAACTCTGGTCTTTTTACATAGGAGAGAGAAGACTTATTTTATACTGATTACTTTCTTATTAAACCATGGGGTCTTGGGGCGCCTGGGTGGCTCAGTTGGTTAAGCGTCTGCCTTCAGCTCAGGTCATGATCCCCGAGTCCCGGGATCGAGCCCCGCATTGGGCTCCCTGCTCAGCGGGAAGCCTGCTTCTCCCTCTCCTCCCCGCTTGTGCTCTCTCGCTGTCTCTCTCTCTCAAGTAAATAAATAAAAATCTTAGAAAAATAAAAAATAAAAACCCTATGGGGCCTTTGTTTTTGTCATAATCTCTGTCCAAAAAAGGAATAATAGACAGCAAGGGTAGATTACTATGGATGCCTCTGGTAACAGTTTCTAGTGGCCAAGCAGTGGATTCCAGAGAATACTGCGTGCATGGGATATTATTAAGTGTGGCCTGGAGAAAAAAAGGATTCTATGGTCAAATGCGTTTGAGAATTGCTGAGTGAGCTAATGCTCAAAGCGTTTTTTTACTTCCTGTGAGTTTCCAAGAGGCAAGTTAGTATATAATTTTTCGGTAAACTTTTTTGCCCATGCAACTCTTTTTCTTTTTTGGAATTTAATTTGGAATCAGTGTATCATGGGACACGCTTAAGCCAACACGACTGCTGCTTCCTTCTCTGTTTGACTAATGTTCTAGGAGGTTCCCAAGAGGGGAAAGGATCTCATGTGTTTCACATTCTCCCCCAGGAGCAAGTGGGATTCCTGCCTTGCTCTGCAGCAAATCTCAATTAAGATCCTTCCTTCATGTCTTGGACCCTAATTCATCCATCCTAATTTTTTAAACTTGGGGAAGAAGCAGCTTCTGGGCAACAATTTGTCCCAAGCCTGGAGGGGAGGCGCTAATGTATAGTTGCCCTTCCCACATTAGTTGATCCACGAAAGCCTCGTGGCATGTTACCAACATCATTAGTTCCTGAAAGATGCCTTGGAAAATTTAACTCTGTGATCAGCAGACCTCAGAGTGTTCCGTTCCATAGCTGACTTCATTGCCAGTTCTGTTTATTTTGAAAGTATTGTCTCTGTTCTTAGGAGGGTCTGAGGGGAATTCTTACATATTCGTTTATGGGCTGGTAATCCAGAACCAGCAGAGCTATGTCAAAAGAGGCTGAAACCCAGAAAACCTCATTTCCTGATGAGGAGCCGAAAACCTTTTGAGAAGAGGTCTCTGAAAAAGACAATGTAACAATCCCTTCTCTGACGTGCTCATAATGAGACATGCTGGGGGTTTCCCTCGGTTGCTCACAGTGATGTTTCTCAGCCAAAATCTGCGCAGAGCTTCCAAAGGTAGTCGAGGCTGGCCCCAAAAAATTATAAAAATAATCCACTTGGTAGATAACTTGAGTCTTCAGCAATTTCTCTCCCGGGTTTCTGGGCTGCCTGGGATATGGGAGCAGGGGACTTGCCAAGGGGACCTTTCAGCACTCAGCTAAGCTCCAACACAAGGCATTAACGAGCCCCTATGGAACAGCCTGGAAACCAATGTAACACAGTCTGTTTTCTATTTTGAAGTTCAAACTGGAAACAAGATGGATGATGTGTCAAGAAGACTAACAGCTGAGGGAAAGGACATAGACGATCTTAAGAAAATCAACAGCCTGATTGTAAAGCGACTCAATCAACTGGACGCTGAACAAAACTAAAGAAATGAGCATCCAAAAGCAGCTGCTAACGCCGGAGCTTCACACTTTACTGGGCGTGCACAGGGTTATGAAGTGAGCATGCGCATTTCTGCAGGCAACAGAATATCTGGTTCGTGATCCCAACCCTGGGGCCAACTTTCTGCTACAGGGATGGGAGCAACTCCAAGGCAAAGGGGCATGGGATAGCAGCCAGAAAAGGGCTCTTTTTATGGTAGGGTCCTTCTGCTTCATTGGGGTCTAGGGTGGCTGGCATGAAGGAGAACCAACAGTTAGCAAGAGAATTCGGCTCTGTACCTACACCTTCTCTTACAAAAGGAGTGTTGTCACCAGAATAAGTTCACTGTACCAGTGAGGTTCATGGCACCTCATGCGCCTTTATGAATTCCTGTGACAGCCTAATGAATCCAGTGAGTTATTTGTATTCAAGGGAACCAGGTGATGACTCTTCTCAATAAAAAATTCTGCTCAGGTGATTAAACTCTGACTCTTCCCCAAGGACAGGGGATGGGTGGGTTTCAGAGCCAATTGCCTTCTGGTATTTGCTAGTAGTATTGATATGATATATGGTAGGGTGGGGGTCAATAGAGAGAGCCTAAGTTATTCAACCAATGTTTATTGAGCTCTTTGTGCAAACCATCTGTCTACTTTAGAAGAGTTTACATTCAATTGGGGAACAAAGGAAATGTATGGTTATATATATATTATATAAGCTTTGTTGGCATTCTTTCTCATGAAAAATCCTTCAGTATTCTGCTGCTTAATTTTGAAGCAATCTGATAGGTTTGTGGTCTTTACTAAGCTACAGTAGGAAATTGTGTATTTGGAATATTTGAAATCTGCCCTGTTTTAGCCCAAAAGGTAAGGTACACAGTTTGTGATATAAGATATGGTGTGATATAAATGAGCTTAAAAAGCATATGAGTCTTAGAAAATCTTTTATTTAATACAAATATATTGTGCAAGTTTATTGAAGAATGCATTGCGATGGGGCGCCTGGGCGGCTCAGTTGTTAAGCGTCTGCCTTCGGCTCAGGTCATGATCCCAGGGTCCTGGGATGGAGTCCCACATCGGGCTCCTTGCTCAGCGGGAAGCCTGCTTCTCCCTCTCCCACTCCCCCTGCTTGTGTTCCCTCTCTCGCTATGTCTCTCTCTCTGTGTCAAATAAAT